GCGCCGGAACCGGGGGGGGAGCCGCATCGCCGCGGCCGCCCAGGATGTGGTGGGACGAGCGGGTGTCGGCGCGGTTCCGGAGGAACCTGCAGCCCACCCTGACCTACTGGAGCGTCTTCTTCAGCTTCGGCCTCTGCATCGCTTTCCTGGGGCCCACGCTGCTGGACCTGCGCTGCCAGACCCAGAGCTCCCTTTCCCAGATCACCTGTGTCTTCTTCTCCCAGCAGTTCTGCCTCCTGCTCGGCAGCTGCCTCGGAGGGGTCTTCAAGAGGACGTAAGGCGCCTGGCAAACTCATCGCACCTCCCGCGGGTGGGCTTAAGCTCTCCGCAACCAATCCTCCCCCCTCCCTTCCCTTTCTCCTTCTCCCCGCTGCCGCCGGGTTTGCATGGCCGCGCTGGGATGCTGCTGCTCCGCCTGGGAAAACCCTGCCCGAGCCGGGGGGGGCTCCCTGCCTGGCCCGAGGGTCCGCAGCCCCACTTGCCCCGAGTGGCTGGGAAAGAGCCGGGGGGGAGGCTTCCCAGGGCAGGAACCGGCTGCTGCTCCCCGCTGCCACCCCGGTTTTGTACCCTTGGAGAGAGGTTTCCAGTTCCCCCAGAGCTCAGCGCCTTCAGCGTGAAGTTACAGCCAGAACTTCCCGGAGGGTATTTTCCTTAACCTGATTGTTTGTCGCAAAAATATTATTGGAAGCCTGTTTTAATAACCTCGGCGTCAGAAATTGAGGCGCCTTGTCTGTGCTCCCCGGGAGTTTGGGCAAACACGAGTGGTCCTCGTGGGCTCGCTGCTGCGGGGGGCGAGGGCAGGGGCAGTGCCCGAGCCGTGCGGGGTGGCCGAGGGCCAGCAGCCCGTGGGCCAGCAGCCCGTGGGCCAGCGAGAAACCCTGGGTGCAGCCCAACGGGGTTTTGCGCTGCGCCTTCTGTCCAGGATGTGTTTAAAATAAATAATACGCGATGGCTCAATCCAAAAGATCGCCAGACAGGCATTTGATTTGAGGCTTGATGACAGCTCTGCCTTGCTGAGAATCAGCTGATATTTACATTGTCACTAATTCTTCAGGCAGTGATGTAACGTGTCAGCTCCGCGTGTCGCTGATATCCACGTCACGTATATGTATAACATGTACGCGAGAGAATTCTGCAAGGATCCTTCGCTGTTTTAAAACCGCCCGTTTAAAAATGTTTTGTTAAACTCTCGTGGCGAGTGTTGGCTAACGAAGATGGCATTAGAGCACCTGTTAAATTGCCATCCTGGTCCGGATAGAGCCCAGAGGCTTCGTGGAGCAGCAGGAGCTGCTCTCTGTCAGGCTGTGCTGGGAGAGGAGATGCAAGGTGGGCTGAACGGGGACGAGGATGGCACGTGGGAGCCTTGCCCTGGGTCTGACACGGATCCGAGACTGCTGGGTCAGCCGCCAGCGCCTTTGCCAGCCCTCAGTTTGCTTCACATATGTTTGAAGGAGCAGGGAAGGAAAATGCAGAATTGTTTCCTGCTGTCAGCTTCCTACCCAAAGCTCCTGCCCTTGGCTGGCGGGTTACGCAGACCCGTCTCTGGTTTTGTACTCGGAGACTCTTATACTTCTAACTCGGCAGCAGCACGCTGGGGGGAAGAGCGTATTTGTAGCTCGCTGCGGTTACGAACCAGGATGTGTTTGTGGTCGCAGCCTCTTGGAGCGACCGGCTTGTGCGAAGTGTCTGCGAGCCCCACTGAGGAGCAGCAGCCCTGCCAGGCAGGAGGGCACGCTTCAGAGAGTTGTGGCTTGTGAGCGCCGGGGGGGAGGTTACTCGGAGCGGTGCGGCGTACAAACGTGTAGGTTTGGATGAGAATATTAACTCTGAGAGCTGCGGTGCTATCCCCTCCTCGGGGACGGACAGATCGAGCTGTCCTGCTAAGGATGTCTGATTCTGGGCCGTGCTGTGGATTTGCAAATCACATTATGCTGGTGCCGGGCAGGGAGGAGCACTGGACAGGTTGTTTTTTTCCAGTTAGTTGCTGGTGGAGGATCCCAAAGCATCACCTGCCTGCAAGGCAGCCGAGCCAAGGTCTGGCTGCAAGCTGAGTTTAACCTCCAATGCCTGAGGAACACAGGTTTTGTTGCTTGCTCTCAATTAAAATATGTATTGGTCTGAGCTGTCTGCTCTGAATGACGGACTCGTGCGGGAGAGCGGTGTGGTTACAGGGTTCTGTGGCAGAACTTGGGGGGGGGACCCAACTAATGGTTTGGTTCCTCTCATCGGAGAAGTTGCTGAATGCCAAGTCGTAGTCTCTGCTCTCTCGGCCCGGCTGGAGTCCCGGAGCACCGGGAGGACGGAGCAGAATGATGGCATCCGTCCCTTGTGTAACTCGGTGTGAGCCTGGCCTGCCAGGACTACCTCCAGAATTCCCTCACGTGTGAGATTTTAAGGAAGAAGAAAGTTTGCCGTGCGAGTTTCCCCGGAGCGATGTAGAGGTGCAGTTGCTGCCCGCGGTGCTCTGCACCAGAGAGCCGGGCTTGCCTCGAGGTCCTTCCCAGGCTTGTGCAAAGCCGGAGCTGGGGGAAGAGCAGTGTTTAAGCTCACGCTTGGGCTTACAGCGGGCTGCTGCTCTCTGGTAGCTCATCCTTAGGCTTTGCTGGGTCGTAATTACGAGCTGTGCTTCAGGAGGGTGCAGCGTTCTACAGGCTGTTCGCATGAGTGGGGTTGGGGTTTAGGTGGAGCGCGTGCCTGGGCTCAAACCCTGGTGTTCCCGTGGTGTTGGTGGAGGTTCCGCGAGCAGAGACAGCCCTGGCAGCAGCTGATGCCCTCCCTAACGCCCTGCGCTTGTTCCCTGGTGTTACCTGGGCTGGATGCTCAGAGTGCCTGACACGCTGTCAGGCTGTGAATCCAGCTGGCAGCATTGGGGTGGGAGCGCTGAGAGGACCTGAAACCCTGCCTACACCCAGAAACCCGGGTGGGAGCCGAGCTCTGGGGTCAATCCAGCGCAGAGCACATGGCACTGCAACCTCCGGGGTGAGCTCTGAGCACCTGCATCCCCCATCACTCTCCCTCTTGCTTCCCTTGCCTTCTCCTTTTCCATTTTATTGGATTTTAAGCTTGCGTTGTGAAGTTAAAGCCACAATCCCTCACGCTGTTGTGTTACGCGTGTGTGACAGAAGCACCAGAGTAACTGAGCACCCATGTCTTGGTGTGACTTTTTTTTTTTTTCCATTCAGATACTGCATTTTTGTCCTTCTGTATTTTTTACTTTTACTCCCAACGTCCGGGTCAGCCCTGAGCTATTCCTGCTGGTGTTAGCAGAGAGAGGAGAGGGCTGGTAGGTCTGTTGCTGTGTTGGAGCCCTGAGGCTCTGCTCGAAGGAGCGATCCACGCCAGGACCTGGAGGGCTGATGAGATGGGACCCTTTTACTCTTCATTCCTCTTCCTGGGACCCGTCTTTCCTCTTCACCCCGTGGCTCCTGTGCATGTCACAGCATGTCAGCTGAGAGGGGGTGACCCTGCTCTCTCTCTGTCCTGCAGACTCCCATCTTCTGAAGGTTTCTGTTCAAGCATGTGGCTGGTGCACGCAGGATGCTTCTCACCGCAGAGGGAAGTCAAAGCCTTTTGTTGCTGAGAGAGCAGAGTGACTTGAGCGTGAGCTCCTTGGGAGATGTGATGCTCCCCAAGCCTGGCCAGTGCTTTTTGCTGGAGACAAGTGTACCTGAGGGCAGATGGAGGAAGAAGGCAGCGTGGATCATCCCACATGTCCTCACCTCGTCCCCTTAGGGCTTTGGGGTTTTAATTATCAGTTTTGCAAGTCTGAATTAGCCTGATTATCATTTTTCGTCTTGATGTGAGGGACTTAGAAAATGCTCCCTGGGGTGGGAAAAAATATGCTTGAAGTTGAAGGGTGCCTGCTGCAACAGGAACACCGAGGTGGGGGTTTATATATGCTGTGAGGGAAGGAGAGGGGAAGCTTTGCTGGCTGTGACTACAGGATAATATTAACCATCCTACTCTTGTAGAGGAGATCAGCCTAAACCTTCTGCAGGGAGCTGCAGGCCTTCCCTCGAGCCTTGTGATGGAGCCAGAACGTGCTCTGGGTGGTCCTGAGACGGTCTGTGATGTTACAAGACTCGTTTCACACGCTGCTGAAGCAGAGGCTGCGCTGGGCACAGCCACAGCTGCCCCCCCAGCCCGCTCAGCCGGGGACATGGGGACCAGTTAGTGATGGGGAGGGCAGCAAGCTCAGGAACTGGACCATGGCATAACATCAGAGTTGGTTTTTAAACCCTTTGGAGGGGGGCGCTGGTTTCGCATCCTCAAGACCCCCTCTGAAAGTCACAGGGTACCTCATTTCAGGATGCTTTCAGGGTGGGGTTTTTTTTTTCCCTGAAGAAATCCCCATTTGTGCCTCCCTGGGCGCTGAGCAGTGTCCTTCCCCTGTATCCTGGGGAGCTGGCATGGGAAGCCAGCAATTTCTTCATCCCCCCCCTAATGCCAGAGCCAGGGAAGGGGGCAGCAGTGCCACCGGGGGCTGCGGGTGTTTGCGGGTGGGGGGTGCAGTTGTGTTGTTAACATCTGATGGCTGGAGGCGGGAGTTTTTGCTCATTGGGGAAAAGTGGGGTGATCTTTTTTTAATGCTTTTTAAGGACATAGCATCGTCTGCAATTAATGTTTAACTCCAGGAATGAACGTGCTGCCCGGCCAGGCACACGCGACGCTGTGGTTGTTTTGCTGGGGCTGCAGAGGAGAAGAGGCGTTTCTGGGATGGCTCAGTCTGCTTTTCCCCGTTTTCCCGTCGCTCCCGGCCTTGGATTTACCAGCTGCTGGTGCCTCTGCCTCTCTCCCTTCTGCCGGGCGTCCTGCTGTACCCTGGGGAGTGCTGCCTTGTCTCCCCCCAGGCTCGGAGCTGCTTCTCTCTATTTGCTAGTCATTCTTCCTGCTGTGACTGTGCGCATCTCACTTTGCTCCCTCCCTCCCCCAGAAATCCCACGCTGGCTCCCCGTTTTGCTGCGAAGAGCCGTAGTTACGGCTTTGCAAAACGTCGTCTCCTCCAGCGTGGTCTGGCTGATGGGGGAGCGAGGCCGGGCTGGGTGATGCGAGCTCACTGAGGCTCTGCTACGGCCAGGTTTGTGCCACCGGTCAGGAGAATAAAGGAGACGGTGCCCTTGGCCCCTTTCTTCTCCCCGGAGCCGTTGAAGTGCAGTGTAAGCAACAAGCAGGGTGCGGAGGGCCGGGTCGCTCTGGGTTTGCGGATGAATGAGGCCACGCAGAAACGCGGTGACATGCCCGAGGCCGGGCCGTTCTGGACGAGCGCTCAGGGCAGGAGGGCTGGCAGCGCGGTGCCCGGCAGCACCGAGGCTCTCTGCTGCAGCTCCAGCCCAGGCCGCCTTGGAGCCGCCTTCTCCTCCTGCTTCGGAGCAGAGATGTAGGCGTTTTGCTCGCTGGTTACACCTCTGTGCTGGGGACGTGCCTGTGCGTTGCCAGTCCTTCGCTGTGGACCGACGGCTGTGCCCTGCTCACCCCAATCGCTAATTAGCAACTCATTACAGCAAGCTGCTGGCTGTTGCAATGGGCTTCTACAAGGTTTGGAAGCCCAGGGTGGGATGGGGACGTGCCTCTGCTACTTACTCTCTGTTGTGACTTTATAGTCCCACCTTTCTGCTGGGTTCAGGGCTTCGCTCTCTGGTCCCCGTTTCCTTCCTTCCTGCCTTTCGACTTGGCAGCTCTGGAGCAGCGCGGTGCCAGCCTGGGCTGGCTACGGCCCGGCTCGCCCCGGGAGCAGCCTCCCCGCTCAGGCCGGCCGGCCTGCACCACTGCCGGACTCGAGACGTTATGCGCCAGCTTCACCTCTACCACGCGCACCCCTCGGGCTTCGCCGACGGACCGTGTGGCTTGGGAAGCGGCCGCCCGCGCCGGGAGCAGCAGCAGGGCTGCGTCCTGCCCCGTCGTGCTGGGGAAGGGACGATGCTGCTCCAACGGAGACGGCGCAGGGCACGGGGAGGGAAGCACAGCAGCTCCCTGTGAGGCAGGACAGGGCACGCAGGCAGGTCTGGGATGACACAGCAGCTCTGGATGCCAGCAGCTCTCTCCCTGCCGGGAACTGGGGCTGCCTGCTCAGCCTGCTTGTGCGTTACAGCCCTGCGTGAGAGGTGCCCTGGAGCTGCTCGAAGGTCACGATGTGGCTTCGCCTGCGTGTACTCACGTCCCTTTCCGTTCCCAGTTCTTCCCAGTTAACAAGGGAAGGTTCTCGGGCTTTATTCTGCCTTGAAACGTGCAGAGCAGAGGTTTGAAGGGATGGTTACTCTTCTCCACAAAAGCTGGGTGGAAGATCTGCCTCTTTGAGGCATCGCCCTCCACGCAGGAGATGGCGGTGCCATAGGCTGGCCACGGCTGTGCTGTGGAGGCGGAGGGGTGCGGGGTGTGGAACATCTCCCTTGTCTTGTCAGAAGAGGACGTGTTGGAGCTCCAGCCTGTGGGTGCTTTTTCCTGCAGCACCCACTGACCCGGGGTGGGAAACAGGAGGCAGGGCTGTGGTGTGGGTGCTGTTCTTGTGGCAGTAATTCTGTCCTGTCTTTCCTCTTTCCCCGTCTCAGGTTGGCTCAGTCCTTGTTTGCCCTCTTTGCCTCATCACTGGCAATCTCCTTGGTCTTTGCCATCATCCCTCTGTGCCACAATGTGGTGGTCCTGGCTGTGGTCATGGCTGTGGCAGGACTGGCCATGGGTTGCATCGACACCATCTCCAACATGCAGCTGGTGAAGATCTACCAGAAGGACTCGGCCATCTTCCTGCAGGTGAGCGCGCAGTCCCCTCTGGCTGTGCTTCCTCCTCTGAGGAAGAGTGAGGGGCTCAGCCAGCCTCCCTGCAGAGAAGAGCAGTAAACCCCCCCCCCCGCTCTACCTGCGTGTCTCTTGCAGGCCCTTCATTTCTTCGTGGGCTTTGGAGCGCTGCTAAGCCCCCTGATAGCTGACCCCTTCCTCTCGGACACCAACTGCATCCTCTCAAACTCCACAGCCAACGCCTCCAGCAACCTCCCTCACATCCGCAAGTCCCTGGTCCCGCACCATCCGGGCAACCTGTCTCATTACGACCTACCGATGAAAGGCATGGTGGTCACACGTGTTTCCTACGCCTTCTGGATCATGGCCCTCATCAACGTAAGTGCTGCTGGGGACACCCCTGCTGCTCGGCTTTGCAGGTGGCTGTGGCCTTTGGGGGGTGTTGGGGCCTGTGAGGTGGTCCCAAGCGATGGAAGGAGGCGTGAGAATGGTTGTGCTGGTCCCCAGCAAAGCTTCGTTTTTTTGCCAAGTGCCCAGCAGGTTCCTGGGGCAGGAGGGCAGGGCTCTGCGGAGCAGATGTGATGGGGTCAGTGTACCGTCCTGCGTGGGTCTGGTCTCTCTGGGAGCAGGTTGTACCTCCAGCATCCCCCTGGGCAGGAGTTACACCAGCCCCAGGGTCTTCCTCCGTGGTCAGTCTGGGGAGGAGCTCGGTGGTGTGGGAGGGCGATTTGCAGTGATATTTGTGGAAAAGTGTCTGCTGATGAGCCAAGTTACTGCAGCCAAAAGCTTGATCAGGATGTCTCTGCCTGTTTGTTGTGTTTCCCTGGTGATTTGCAGCAAACGTAAAAGCCCTGTGGCCCACCCTTGGAGACAGAGATTGGGGTTTAGTGCCCATCCTCTTTCTCTGCCCTGCAGAGTCCCAAAGCTCACCTCCAGCGAGCTGCTCTTTGAGAAGCAGCCCTGTGCCTTCCCCTGCAGTCAGCACCCAAATCCCAGCATGGTTCAATACTGCTGCTCCCTTGCACGGCCCCGCTGGGCTGTGGCCATCGTCGCGCCCATCCCCAGTCCCTCTGCAGAGCTTTTCCCCGGCGGCAGGAGCCTGGCGAGTGTGTGGGTGATTGTCCCTGTAGGTCTGGAGCGATAAGGACAGAGTGTGTTGTTGCAGCGAGGGGTTCCCCTCCTGCCGGGCTGGATGCTGGGGGCAGCTCCGCTCCAAACCTGCGGAGCGTTGGGTTATGCCTTGAGTGCAGGAGCTCCCGCTGGCCGGGGTTTGGGTCCCCGCCACGAGCAGGGCAGTAGCCTTTGCATTAGGGGCTCTGTTGTCTAATAAAAAGCCAAGCTGGGGCCTGTTTGCCCCCCCTGGAGACCTCCTGTGGTAGAAGTGAAGGGTGGTCCTGCCAGAAGGAGCTCTCCTGCCTGTGCGAGTTTCACCATTGCCCTTCTGCCAAAACAAGGATGCGCCGGTGCTTCCTCTCCTGTCCCAGGCAACGAGCAGCCTTTGCTCTTCCACCCCTCCGTCTGCACTAGGCAAAGGGAACGGGGTTCTTTGTGCTCTTGGTCTTCCCGTTCGCTGAATAACTAAACCATACCCCAGCGCACCTAATTCAGGGGTTTTCGTCAGCAGCTCGCTGATGTGAGGAGGAGAAGAGGTGACCCAAAGAGCTGGGCAGGTGCTCTAGCGAGCTGCTTTGCAGAAGTACCAAAGGAATGCTCCCTGCCTAGGAGGAGAAACCAGCTTTAATTACCTCTGACTCTGCGGATGCCATGGGAAATGTCCTTTTAATTACACCGGAGCGTTATCTATTTTCCCAGTCAATCCCTGAGCAAACTAATTTAGTGTGGAAGGCAGCGTTTAATATCTGCTTTGAATACGACGATGTGTCTGATACCAGGAGCACTGATGGGATGGGGGGGGGGAGCAGACCCCCTCTCTGCTCCTAGCAGTGTCCCTTGGATGTTTTGGGTGCAGGATGGGCCCCTAGGCTGAGTCTCGTGAACTGGGTTTACATGCTCAAGCGCCCTTTGCACACGTGGGAGGTTTGCGCGTGTGTGCACACGCTGCGCGGGCTCACCGGGAGCACGGCAGCGAGCCCCGGGGTGCGGGGAGGCCGGGGGGTTCGGGGAGGAGGGAGAGATGACAAAGCGGAGTGGGGAGTTGGCCACACGCTGCACACGCAGCGCTGGAGCGTGTCCCCTTGCCAAAGCTGAGCTTATTGTCTTTCCCAAAGCCTCGCTGAGGGAGCTGACTTGGTTCCTTGTTTAAACTAAATAACCCAACCCACTGGCCGGAGATACTGAGAGTAGCTCAGCTCCAGCACTGCTGAGCCTTCTTTAAGGTGTAAACATCAGAGAAAACCGATGATAATTGATATTTAAACCCCCGTGGAAGTGGACGAGCTGAGTAAGCTTACAGAGATGGAAACCAGCAACTTCATTATAAAAGGGCGAAAAACCCCACATTTCCATCCCATTTTCCACAGGGCTGTGTGTATTCTGACAAGACACAAGCTGAAATGATTCATTTCCATTTCTTGCTTTGTTTAAACGTCTCGATTTGACTTTGGCATAACTTGCAACGTGTAAAGCTGACGGAATAGTTGTTTCAGTGTTATTGGAGCAAAGTGGTTTTGCTTTGGTAAAATTAAGTGGTTCAATATTATCAAAACGAAGGGCTTGGATGACTCCCGGCCAAAATTTTTTCATTCTAACAGAAAATTTTGGCTTTTCGTCCAGATTTGGAACAAAAACATATTTTAAAATTCGGTTTCCCACAGAACGGAAATTTCATCATCCAGCCCGTTCCAAGGGGCTGGAAATCAGGAAAATGTTCCTCCGAGAGGGATGTGTTTGTCCGGAAGGTGGTTTCCCAGGGGAAGTGTGGGACACTCCATTGTGCTTAGGTTGCTTAAAAGTGTCCTGGGTACAATAGCAGGGAACAGTCCCGTGCTCCTGGGGAGAGAGACTGGAATAGAAACTGGAGGGAAGGAGCCTGGATCATACCCACGCTGAACTGCGTGATGCAGCAACTTGTTGAGTTTAGAATAATGGTTAAAAGCTGCCAGGGGGAGGGGACAGTCCTGGGGAATTTGTTGAGCGGAGCTGGAGCGCCGGGGCCAGGCAGTGGGGGTCTCGCTGCCTGCTTTGCCCTTCGACCCGTGCGGGCTCCCAGGGGACCCTCGGATGTCTCAGTCCCCTTTGGAAAAAGAAAAACTTCTCATTGAAAAGGGCGAAGCAGGGTTGTCCCGGGAGGAAAGCCCATGAGCACCAAAAACCTCTGCCTGCCGGGGAGGGAGGGCTGGTCAGAGCTGGGGCCCGGGGGTGTCCGGCTCGGTGGGGTTGGGGCAGGGCAGGGACGTGCTTTGGGGACCGAGTGTCGTTATTTCAGGGGCTGTGGCTCATCTCTGGCGCTCGCTGTTTGGGCTCCCCGCAGGGTGGGAAGGCTTTGATAGCTCTTTGCCTCGTGCCAAGCAGCCGGGGGGTCGGTCCCAAGAAAACTGAAGCTGCTTTAGGAGCCACGTAGCGAGACCCTGTCCCAAGCACGGTGGCCCTGCCCCTGTGTCGTGGCCCGTGTCCTGGGTCCAGCGAGGCTTGTGGTGGCCACCCGACCTCTCCAGCTGGGTTATGTGGGAGCTGTGCGGGGGGAGAGGGGCTCAGCACCCGCCCAGCACCTCATGGCAGTGGCTGTGCTCATGTGGGGAGCAGAAGGGACAGTCCTCGAGCTGCCCTTGTGCTGTGGTCGGGGTAGGCTGCTCCTCCGGGCTGGATTTGTCCCTTTGCTCGGTGAAACGTGCCCTGGCAGGGCTCTGGTGTTTGCCTCTGTTTGCTCCTCTCCACCTGCCCGTGTAACAACCAAACTGCTTTCGTGGATGCTCCCTCCCCTGTACACACCCCAGATTTACGAGTGGCCTCTCCTGGGGCCCGGTGGCCACGGGTGACTCTCCCCAGGCTATTTGCCAGCCGGGGTGCAGGACACAGGGTTGGCTCAGGATGGAGCCCTTGGGTCCTGCTTTCTCTTGAGCTTGATTCTCTTGCTTTTCCCCGCTTCCCTCAGTTTGCTTTGGCGTGGTGGCAGCCCATGGGTGAGGGCTGCACTTGACCGTGGGTGAGTCTCCAGCTTTTGGGCGTTTCCTACCAGAAATGACCGGTGCTGGCGAGGAGCTCATGGCTGATGGGGTCAGAGCACTCGTGCACCCGAGGTGCTGCCAGCTTCGAGATGGCACGGTCTGGATAAAGAGAAAGGGACCTGCTTGCTTTAGAGGTGAGGATCTGGGGAGCGGGGATATGCCAATGGTTTGACTGGGAATTTGGAGAGGCCGGAGCTGGGGCCCTTTTCCACCAAGCGCTCCTTAAGGCTGGAAGCGCCCAGAGATGTTATCTGTACAGCCAGTCCCTCTGCGTGGGTATATTTTTTTTGCAAAATCTGCAATTTAGAAGAATAAAATCTGGTCCTGACCTCCGGAAGGATTAGAACTATCAAGCAAATGCGTTTTTCTTCCATGGGACCGAACTAACTGTTCCTATTCCCATTGTTTCCAGAACAATGAAGTCCTCGTAAACGAATTCAGGCAAGAGAGAGGGAGGGGGGGGGAGGAATTCTCCATACATTTAAATCATGCCATGAGCCAACAAAAGGCAGGAAATTTGGAGCTAGAGCTCACACTTGCTCACAGACATGTAGCAAACAAGCGCTCAGCGGCTGGAGAGTGAGCTGTCACTTAGGATTTCCTGGCTTTCTACCCCAGTTTGTTGCAGAATAAACACCACTTGGTTGCGGTGGGAGGAGAAGAGAGGGCTGGCGAGGGCTTCATTTGCTCCCCTCTGTTTTTTCTCTCTGTCTCAAAAAAAAAAAAAAAAAAGGAAAAAAATTAAAAAAGAGCAAGTCCCTCCGGGCTTGGAGGCACCGCGGAGTCGTGGGTGTGCGCAGGGAGGAGGCTCGTCCCCAGGCGTGGGGGAGCGCGGTGCTGGGGGGCCTGATGCTGCTGCCGGAGGGATCCTGACGGCAGGTCCAAGCCCACGGTCCCCGTGTGTGTTAGCACCAGGAAGGAAGCCCTGACTAGGGGGGGGGTCTCCAAGGCAGCGAGGGCCGAGAGGGCAGTGCCTGGATGCTCTGCGGTCCCGGGTCCCTCCGCGCAGGCGGTACCCAGGGGCCGTTTGAAGCCGTAGCGGTGCTGTTGGCCTGGGAACCAGGAGCTCATCTCTTCGGAGATGCTGGGCAACCTCTGCTAATGGCTGGAGGTGAGCAAAGCAGGGCTTGGAGCAGCTTGCTCTTCCCCCGCACAGAATTTCAGCCGCGGAAGCTCTCCCGTTAAAACTGTTCTGCTCTCCCCAGGCAAAAGCTACTTTATTACTTTTTCTTTTTTTTATTTTTTTTTTTTTATTTATTCTTTGGGCAGAAGTGGCCAAACGCTTGGAAACCAGAACGCTTTGGGTTTGCAGGGCTGGCGTGGTGCTTTGTGAGGTCTGTATTTAGGGGCCTTCTGTTCGTGTCCCTGTCCCAGGTGAATGGTCCCCACCCGCCATCCCCCAGGGACTGGTGGGACATGTCCCAGCCGTGCTTTGGATCAGGAGTCTTTGCTTTCAACTTGCTTTTTTCATTTCCCCCCCC